TTTAATGAATGATTGTCACATCGCAGCAAAATGCACTGGAAATTGCAATATTTCATTTTAAATCGTCGAGACATTGTCACCTTACCGCCAAAGTATCACAAGCGCCATGCGACGTTTAAACATTTTCGCCACCATTTTATTTTTTTGAAAGAAATTGTTCAACGAAGCTGTCCGAAAATTTCACTGAATTTTCGTTGTGATGCCGATAAAATTCAGTGAAATTTTCAAACAGATTCAACCAACAAAATTTTCAAACCAACAATCTCTGTGAAAAGATAAAATGGTGGCGAAACTTTTTAAACGTCGCATGGCGCTTGTGTTACTTCGGCCGGAAGGTGACAATATGTATACCTTATTTTTTTGAATTTTTAACGAATGATTATCACATTGCAGCAAAATCAACTGGAATTTGCAATTTCTCATTTTAAATCGTCGAGATATCGGTGCATATTGGTGCTGCGTGGCCAGCGCAGACCCTAAACTCCCTCCCACTCCTTGTAAGGCACCCTTAACAAAAGCTCAGATCCCCTTCCCACCGCGTAGGAACTTTTTATGAATGGCATACTACGGTCCCTCTTCCGGCGGAGTCTTACAAATAGCCGATACAAATAGGTACTCCCCGAAAATAACTTCCCCCGGCGAGAGACCAATAGGATTGCGGGGTCACCATAATGATCCAGGCGGTAGTTTCGGGGGTGCGAGTGACGTCACTGACCAAGAGGGTGATGTGCAAACTAATTTGAGCGTCGGTGGGTCGATGCGTGACTCAATGGACACGGACCCGACAAAGGAACTAATAAGTCGGAGAGAACGGAATCGAATCGATTCCGCTATAAATAATTAAAAAAACCGAAGGAGAGGGAGAGAGAGGGACGAAAAAGTTATGAGTGACACGTCGGAGTTGAATGAGGCGGGTTTTACATGCGCTCGGGGCTCGGGGCCGGGTAGATAGGATCTGGCCAATTATCACCGTGGGAGGAAATCATTTCCCTCGGTAAGAAAAGAGAGCTGAGCCAGGTCGAGTGCAAAGGTGATCGTGACGCTCCTCCGCTATCCAGCCGCACAAAGGAGCCCACTCGCGGACAGATGCGAAAGGTTAAGAGGTTCGCTCCGCTTGAGTTTCGTGAACTTTCGTGTTTTCAGTTATTTTCGCGAGATTTCGAAATAAATCGTCATATTTAATGGAATTTAGCGCACTGGAAAAAAGGAACAGATTGGATCTAGAGTCCAGACTCTCGAAAACATTGACAAGAAAAAATACTCTTGATTCAATCAGAATTAAGCTTAAATCAAAAGGAAATCCGCGCAAATTAAGAGGCTTGGTTCTTGATTTAAGCAAAAATCCGATTGAATCAAGAGTATTTTTTCTTGTCGATGTTTCTAAGAGTCTGGACTCTAGATTCAATGTGTTTTTTGTTCCAGTGCGAAATTTCATCAATTTTCAACGAAAATAATTTTGTATTGTTAAAAAAGTGTCCGACATGTTTCAATGTAGATTTTACATTAATAAAATGCGAATTTAACGACCCCCCTGGGAAAATTAGCTTTCCACTTTTGTAAAATGTACATTTGAAACATGTCTGACATATTTTTTAAAAATTTAATGTTGAATTAGCAATCAATTTTTTCCGTGTTGAATGTTTTTATTAAATTTGAAGCAATGTTAGTGAGCTTCGTAAAATTTCACGAAGGTTTGTGAAATATTATGAAGATCCGTGAAATTGCGTAAAAGTATATCCAATTTTATAAAAGTGTGTCATACATACATTATCTTAACTCCAATAGCGGACTTTTGCGCTTTGCGACACCCTTTCTTTGTCAAAGTGGAAAGCAATTTTTGTTCTCACCAAATCCTCTAGACTCTGGTATAATTTCGTAAAAATTCTTAGTGTGGAATTTCTTGTTCCCATCTCACTTACAATTGACTATACATCGGAAGGTTTCAGACGAGCAAAGCACAAAACTAAGTTTTTTGATTGAAATTAAAAACTGGCGAAAAATAATAATTTTCGTCCAAACGGTAAATGTCTAAATCCAGTATTTACTATCCTAAAACCCCCCGAAAAATTCTGCAATTGGTTTCATTTAGACATAATTGCATATGTCCGGGAAAGAATCTCAATTCCCTGTCATTAGAAGATTTCTCTTGCTGGTATGATATACAGGGATGCAACTATTCGAACTTCGAGGTGAATAAAATTGTATCCTCTCGATTTTGAAGGCGTTTCTCAAAGTGGCAGATTAAGCTACAGGTCTGCTCGGCTGGCCCGCAAGTAAACGATTAGAAGAGAAAAGGTGGATCTCCGCCTCCGCACTGATAGATGGACTCATTGACGGTGATCACTCGTGGTGTGCAAAAGGAATCAGCTGCGCTAGAAATGTATCTTAATGGTTGAAACTTACGCTAAATAACCAAAACTGAATAGATAAATAAAAAAACAAAAAACAAAAAAAAACGAGGAGTGTCTAAAAGTTGCATGACGACCAAGCTGTCCTGTATTATATAAACGGTCGATGTTATAATTAAACATATCCGTCGAGCAAGCAATGAGTTTTTTGTGGAAAATTCTCCCTCGAGAAGACATTTATCGACTGAAAGTAATTCTAGAAAAACTACAAAATTTAATGTGTTTTTTGTAATCTTCCTAGGTCATTCGATGTAAAAACTTTACATGCCCAAATCTAAATTTGGTCCCACAATAATTCAATACATATTGAACAGAATTTTCATAATTGCCCATACTGCTTCCATTTACTCTTCGGAACATTTGATTGAATTATGTATGCTTAACGGAACTATGTATTGAAATGAATTAAATAAAAAGGAATAATATGGAGAGGATTTCCATGCCTCATGATTCCTCCTGATTTTATTCATTTCCACACAATACATTTTCTTGAGCACAAATATGTCCGGATGTCTTTGCCAACGCTCATTCAATATTTTAATCGTTATGTAAAGGTTCTTTTTCTTCCCCTGTAAACCCGCAACTTCTTGGACATATCAGGTTTCAGCATCAACTTATCCATTTCCCATAATTTATTCCTCCGGTCCCGGTTCACATCCCTATTCCCCAGCGAGTGGGGCGTTCGGAAAAGCGTAATAGAGATCTGACGAGAGGCTGGAGAATGGATGGGGGGGGGGGAGAATTCGGAACAGGAAGCACCGCCGCGCCGCATCGGAAGGGCTCTAGGTTACAGTTGGAGAGCTCTTAGTGTTAATGAGAAATCATTGTTTGGATATCCGACAATCATCGACATCTGTCTTTCCCCAATTGCTTCCTTTTCATCCGTGCACCAGCGCCTTTCTCGAGTCTATTCCGCACTTTTCCGAGCGATCTGCCTCACCACATTACCAAGCTCGCCTACTGACTCCCGACGCGACTCGACGCGCCTCACAATGAGACGACTCCAGTGGCGTGGCGTGCTTTGCGATATATCGATTGTTATGCCATTTAAACCTATGGTAGAGAATCGATTATTAAGGTGTCCGCTGCGAACACCCTGTTTATTGATCCTTTTCCATACGTTTAAGTGGCATAACAATCGATATATCGCAAAACACGCCACGCCACTGGACGACTCCCGGAAAATTCAAGGCATTCCGGAGTCTCGCTCCCTTACCTTCGAAGACTTCAACTCCACGGTGCATTCTCGACAACAGCCGTCTCCAACTATGCGGTGGTCAGGTTTCAGTTTTTGGAAGATGAACTTTCAACCTCCTCCGAGTTCCTTTTTGTATGCTGAACTAGGAAGAGGTTTTTTTTTTTTTTTTTTTTTTTTTTTTGCAGAATATACTACTCGATAGATGTTTGGATATCCGACAATCATCGACATCTGTCTTTCTCCAATTGCTTCCTTTTCATCCGTGCACCAGCGCCCTTCTCGAGTCTATTCCGCACTTTTCCGAGCGATCTGCCTCACCACATTACCAGCTCGCCAGTGGCGTGGCGTGGACGATCGATTATCGATATCTCGCCGTTTGAAGCTATGGTAAAGAATCGATTACTAAGGTGTTCGCTGCGAACACCCTGATAATCGATCTTTTTTCACAGGTTTGAGTGGCGCATCAATCGATATATCGCAAAGCACGCCACGCCACTGGCTCGCCTACTGACTCCCGACGCGACTCGACGCGCCTCACAATGAGACGACTCCCGGAAAATTCAAGGCATTCCGGAGTCTCGCTCCCTTACCTTCGAAGACTTCAACTCCGCGGTGAATTCTCGACAACAGCCGTTTCCAACTATGCGGTGGTCAGGTTTCAGTTTTTGGAAGATGAACTTTCAATATTCTCCGATTTCTTTTTTGTATGCTGAACCAGGGTTTTTTTTTTTTTTTTTTTTTTTTTTTTTTTTTTTTTTTTGCAGAATACACTATTCGATAGATAGGGGATATTCCTCGATTTACAAGTTGCAATTCAGGGGTGATCTGTTGCTGGTGATTCTACGAAAAAGTTGCAACTTCTGCATAGTGTATATCTGTATCTATTGTACTATTTACAAAATTTTCTGAAGAGCATTTGACTCTTAGATTCCATCAACCCAAAAGGTAATCTGTTTTACAATGTTATATCCAAAGGAGCCAACCTTAAAATACGTAATGCTCTCGGGGTTCGAGGAGAGTGTTACGCCATTTTGTTATTACGAGTTGTAGGATAACGACCAGTGACCTAAGTCACGAAAGTCTTACAAGGTTACAAGGGGGAGGGGGGGGTTAAAATGCCGAAAAACTGCGTTACATAATTTAGTGACGGCCCCTCATCCATAAAATACCTATCTGCATGGAGAAAGTAATTGCGTGTACGTTGTCTCTGAATTGAGTCAGAGCTCGCCTTTGCATAATGCAGCCTATTAGTTGAAGGAAAATATGAAAGACGAAAATGTGAGAAATATGTTTTCTATAGTGTCTTCCTTACACCGATGTAAAGAGCAAAAAGTTTGTCTTTTTAATATCGCTCAACAGTTCTGACATATCTTTCCATTCCAATTCGTTTTCAGAAAAATGGAGACGAATGAATTACGAAAATACGGCCGAGCGACACTGGACTACCTGGCCGACTACCTAGAAAACATTAAAGATCGGAGGGTTACACCTGTAGTGAGTCCAGGCTGGCTCAAGCATCAAATTCCATCCGAAGCTCCGTTAGAACCAGAGAGCTTTGACGACATTCTAAAGGATGTAGAGGAAAAAATTATGCCCGGGGTAAGTTATACGTGAGTCACCCATTAATAATTTTTCTTGTCTCTTTACTGAGGCGGTTCCCACGGGTAACATTTTCCAGGAACTTTCAAGATATGAGTGGGTGTTTGAGGCTCCTCTTAATGGACTCCGAAAGTTCTCTCACATGGTCCTTCGCAAGTCTTTTTACGGCAATGAAAAACAAATTTGATTAATACAAGTCTGACAAACTCAAGTCTTTGTATTTTGAATCCGAGGATGAAGGTGAAGAAGACAAAAAGGAGGAAGTAAAGGAAGAGGAGGAAGAAGTAAAAGGGAAGAATGATGAGGAGAGGAAGGATATGAGGAAAAAGATTGCCTCTCTTCCTTTCTTCTCTCCTCTTTTCGCCCTTCGCTACTTTTTTTGTCTTTTCTTTCGAATTCGAGGACAAAGATGAGGAAGGGAAAAAGACGGAAGGAAAGGGGGAGAGGAAGAAGAAAAAGAGAAGAGGGATGAGGAGAGGGAGGACATGACGGCAAAAAGATTTTCTCTCCCTCCTTTTTCCTCTCATTTTTCGCTCTCTGCTTTTTTTCTTCTTCTCCTTCCTCTTCTTCTTCCTCTTTTCATTATTCCTCTCAATCCTCTATCTTCGCAATAGCAAGGATATTCATGTAAAAGCTATAGAATAAATAATTTTTGTTGGTCCTACAATACATATTGTCGTCCTTAAACTTGTGTGTATTGAGATTAAGACGAACACATTTAGCGCTTTCTTTCTCCTCTCCTATATTTTATATTTCTATTGTATGAAAGATAATATTAAGGTCTGCAAAATCTTTATGCTATTTAGCATTAGCTTCCAACAATAATTGCGTAATGCACCGATGTCTTTTTTTCTCTTTGAGCAGGTAACTCATTGGCAGCATCCACGGTTCCATGCCTACTTCCCGTCTGGCGCATCGTTTCCTGCTATTATGGCTGATATTCTTTCTGATGGAATCGGATGTATTGGTTTCTCATGGGTAAGGCTTTTTGTGAATGATTGCTTAGAGTAAATTTCAAATCTTGAACACAAAAAAAATTCGTAGCTTAAAGCAGGTGTTTCTCAAAATGGAGATTTGCCCAATCTTTGACGTCATGGACTCAAAATGAGCGTATGGTTGGTAAGATTTTTATTTTTTCGGTACAATTTTCTTCAAATTTTCCACTGTGCATTGTGCAGAGCCACACATTAGATTTCTTAAAAAAAAGTTTGTATTCAGGAGCGGTCACGTGTAGGTAATGGGTGCGTGTGATTGCGCCATCACTATTTTATTAATTACTATAAAACTAGAAACCCCTTACGTATCTTAATTGGACTTCATTTATACCTATAAGAAATTACTATCTTGTACTCTTTTTAGAAATAACATTCGTGCCGTCAGTTCCCCTATGCAGATAAGTTATTTTATGGATGAGCCAGAAATATAGTTCTTTATTGCAAAATGTAGTCCAATGAATATCTACCCTTGGAGTTGAAATAAAGTTGTGCTAATGTTTTTTTTCAGGCCGCCAGCCCTGCATGCACAGAACTTGAAAGCATAGTAATGGATTGGTACGGTAAGAATTAAGTTTTTTGACTGAATACTCTCATTCTTTTAATGGCTCATAGTAAAAATGTCATCTGTTTCCTAAGACGTCTTCGTCTTATGTATTCAAATATTTCCGAAGATTCCGTTGTTTGCCTAGTTTTCTATTTGAAAGGAATTGAGAAGGAAGGATGCTGTAGTTCCGATCATAATTATTGGCTTATCGACGACAAAAAAAATAATACCAATAATTAAAAAAAAAAAGTATGCTTAAAATCCTATCTGCACTAGACATAATATAATTTTGAATAGAAACTGTGCGCACAATGTGTGCAGAAAAATGAAATGAAATACAGATTGTAATTATTTCGATGGAAACAAAAAGTAAAAATGAAATTTTATTATTCCATGAATGGGAATGGGAGCCAAAATTCTGAGGGGAGGGGATTTCTGAAAAATGTACGTACAAGGCAAACAAATCTTATTCTTTTTCGGGAAATACGCTCTTAAACCCTTCGAATTAAATTCTAAATCATCCCATATGCGTCGAGAGTGGATGAATCTCAAAGGCAAAACACCTTCTCAGATTCGAGGTAAACTCGTAATCTCGATTCTTTTTTTCATGTCCAGGAAAAGCAATCGGGTTACCATATGAATTTCTGGCAAATCCAGCATTCAAGAACGCTAATCAAATGGAGAACGGCGTGAGTGATGCAACGGTACCATCAGTGAATAGCACCAGCGTTGGTGGAGGTGTCATACAGGTGTGCGCTTTGATATATTGTCATTTTACTTCCTTAAAAGTATTTGCGCTCTCAAAAAGCACTTAGAGATACGCATCGCCGTTATTCATCGTTGATATCAGAGTTCTGAAGATCTTCTCAGAGAGTTTTTAATTTTTAATTCTCAGAGGTTTATATTCTACAAAGTTTATGATATTTTCATTTTTTAAATTTTGAAAAACCCACGTGCATAAATTCTTAGATGTGTGTACCGAATGGGAAATGATAAAAATGCCTGAGTATCTTCTGAGTCAAGGTAGCTTTCCTCGATAAGTTTTCGCCGGTTTCTTTTTGGATTAAATTAATTTTGCCAAAAAAAAAAAAATAAAGAAAACACAAAAAGAGTAAATTTTCACGTATGAGTGTTAAAGAGCGAGCTACCTTAAGAGTCAGTAGAACCAAGAGAAAATTTACTTCCGATGATATAAAAAATTACCTCAGATGATATAAAAAAGTTACGTGAAAGTAAACTTTTTGACGATGGAGTTTAGGAAAGATCTAGGGTTTCAAATCTCAGCAACTACATCATTCCATTTCACAAGAAACGGAATGGTGTAACTAAATTATGAAATCTACCACCAAGCTAAAAAAAAGAATTTATTCCGATGTCGTACCAAATCAGTCAAATATGCATGGAGTACTGGAGGAAATTTTCACTGAACCTCTTAAAAATGGAGCCTATTTCCCGCCACAAAATATTGTTTTAAGTTCGCTATTGTTTGCAGGGATCTACGAGCGAAATTGTGTTAACCACCATGATCTCAGCAAGAGCTCACGCTATAAAAAATCTGAAGGCACAGCACCCGTTCATCGATGAAGGAGTCCTACTTTCAAAGCTCATCGCGTACTGCTCAAGAGAAGCTCACTCCTGCGTTGAGAAAGGGGCGATGATGGCTTTCGTCAAGCTCAAAATTGTTGAACCAGATGAGCACAATAGTTTGAGAGGAGCTGCGTTGAGAGAGGTAGGCACACATTTTTACGTAAAACAGGTGTGGCCGTCCACCGGAGATAGGACCTTAATGCCAAAAAACTCGAAATTAACTGCTATAATTAGAACAGTTTTTATTGATTGATGGTGCTTATGCATGGGACAGTAGCAATCACAAAAGAACTACAAAAAATAACCAACATAACTGGATTTTAACGACATTTTTCATTTTACTGGATTTAACTATACATTTATTTATAACTGAATGTATGGTGGTTTGAAGGATTCATTGCAAGAACCATAGAGCCCTACACGGAAAAAAATGACTGTGCGCGGATAATCATCTTGGTTTTGTTAATTAAAAGTTGGTGCCGTATAAGTACATGAAAAAATTGATAGAATAACCAACGGCATTGTATTGTCCACAACGTCTTTAGGGAAATCAATCATTTTCAATTAGTTGCTACTAGCTATTACAAATCTGTTCACCGAGACAAAATTGATGGTAAACTGCTCCATCAAGTTGACTCATTGCGCCAAAGAGTGCGCTTGCGCTTCACCTATCTTGTTTTTGGTTAATGCTACTCGGTTAAGTGGGCTCATTGAACTACAGAATGCGTTAGTGCAAATTATAAACTTGTTGATTATGAAGGTCACCATCTCAGATAACTCAATTAAAGTATTTTGTTGGTAGTCTGCCCCGTCAATTTTTTACGCTTTACCAAGATTGAGTCACCAAAGAAAGCAATCAGATATGGGCTGATTAGTGAAAGTATGTTGATACATTTTCAAGAATTCATATTCAACCCACCTTGTGTGACTGATAAGCGTGTAATAATATGCGTACTCCTTTTCCCGTCCCTGGCTCGGGCGACGGTAAAGTCGCCGCAAAACTATATGACTTCGAGCAATTAATTATTCTTGACTCTGCTCGGTTTCAATGATAATTAAAGGGCATTTATTACAACAATTCAGAAACTCGGACGATGTTAAATTTTTCACTGATATAAAAAAACGGATTAAAACGAACTAAAATATTCATTAAAACCAAAAATTATTTCATTCTAAAAGTAAAGTATACCTCATATCGTAATTTTTGAGGAGAAAAATAAAACTAACACTGATAGGAGGTAAAAATAGGGCCGCGAAGCGGTCCATTGATGGCGCGGAGCGCCTTCAGGGGGTTGAACCGCGTAGCGGTCAGGGGGCATAGCCCCCTAGTATTTGACTATTTGCCTAGGCATTTGACAAAATGCCTAATATTACTATTTGCCTGCAACATATCGATTGCAGTGTTTGAAAATTTCTTTCCTCCCCCTCCCTCCCATTGGCACCAAGTTTTACGAAAATCCGACGAGCAGGAACTGAGATAGCGTTTTAGGCCACGCCCGCCACCTTGGTTTTTCGAAATTAGACTAAAAATTCGAATATAATCAATGGAATGAGCCGATGTATCAATTTAGGCTACGTCCGCCGTCTTAAATTTTCAAATTCAGAAAATTCAACTTGAAACGCATCATACCCAAAATCTAAGCTCAGATTCGGCTTCTTCGTGAAAAATCGATGCTATTTCATGTATCATATGTTACCATAACATAAAGAAAAGAGGGTAATCGTAGGCGTTAAGATTCTATCAAAGCCGGCCGGTATGCGGAAGTCCAAACGTTTGAGTGATGCCGCCAAGCGCCGGCGTCAAGCATTTGGTTCGTCCGTTTCCGAGAAAACAAACTTCTTCTTACTCATCAGCTGACCCACTCTGAATCACCCATGTTGCCACGTCGGACTGATATGTTAGAATCTACACGCCTACGTTAATCTCTTTCCTTCATGATATGGGGACATATGATACATGAAATTGCATCGATTTTTCACGAGAAAGCCGAATCTGTGCTTAGATTTCGGATATTATGCGTTTTAAGTCAAATTTTCTTTTATTTATTTTAAATCACTCAAGAAAATTTGCGGAAACTCATTAGAATAACAGTGTGGATTCTTTTAAAAACATTGATCAGAAATAAAACATTGACGGTATTTGAATCCATTATCTCCGAGATAACTTGAACACGGTTGTTCTACGACTTTTTACGTATGTTGTACAAGATTCTCATCATACTGTATAGCTCAATCGTTAGGGTCTTCGGCTAGGGTATGATAGGTCCTAGGTTCAATTTCCGCGGTAGGCAAAAAAATTTGATAGGTCGGATACGACTACAGCACCTCACAATAAGTACTGTAGTCTCATTTTAGTCGATTTCGAAATTTATTTACGCGATTAACCCTATTCCACCATCCCCTAGCTGCGAACCCCGACATTGCACACCTTTGTATTTAATTTTTTTAGCTGTGCATTTTACAAGAAAACACTCCTCTTTATGGCTGAAAACACAAAATATTAGGTTCTCCTTGCTTTCATGATTGATACACTAAACATCCGGATGGGTCTGTTTACCATCTTTGAAGGTCTATCTCAGCAACGCTGTGCGGGACGTCTACGAAGGACGGCGCGCCCGCCCAGCAGTGTTGGTGCGAATTACCATCTTTGTTGTCAACGCCTACCTGATCGCGGTTTGAGGTTTCTAACCATCATACATTTGTGCTCGTAGCAAAATTGTTCTCAGGGGTCGAATCTGGGAATCCAAGATGGTAAATGTCACCTACTATCTGGCTATAAGCACCAAAGATTTTTTTCCGTGTAGAAGAAAAGCTGTTTGAAGTTGTTATCTGCCATGTTCACGGCTCCATAAAGTTGGATAAAAATGTGGATCTAGGGATAAAAACATCGACTCTAGTCGCTATTTCAATCTAATGCAACATGATTTGGACATATTTATACCAAAAGCATACCATGTGTTTAGGGGCTACCTGTAACATAATTCCTTTTAGCATAAATACGTCCATTGTATCATTACTACTAATGGGAAAGTCGGCTTTGAGGATTGAAGTAACTAAAAGTTGCGATATATCGTTTATCTGTAGGGCGAAATTGAAGCTCATTCTTCTCTCGGTAATCCAGGATTGCGCGAAAGGTCTAAGAAAATATATGAGGATTGCGCGATAAAGGCACAAAGGTTGCACGAATAGAAACCTTAATATCTACAACAGGAATGCGCGAGTTTAAAATGAAGTCAATTTAAGGTAGAAGTTTGACATAACAGAAAACAGTTGAAAAATAAACGCATGTTAACGTCAACGCTAGTACAGGTTAGTTTGTTGACAAGTCATCGAGGTCTTGCCCTCTGATGATAAATGAAGTGAAAAGATTGAATACGCATTAATAAAAAACTTTCCTAACTTTTCTCGGAAGAAATATTTAGTCGGGAGGAACGAGGCAACGTTGGACTGCTCATACGGCGTCGAGACACAACATGGACCTTATATGCTTCATTATTCGATGCCCCGATTATTCGAACTTGCGGTAGAATAATCGCGCCAAACACAGTGCGGCCGGCGTTGAACGTATATTAGCGCCTGCAAGACTTTAGGAACACTTCACGCATTGCGCCAAACGGCGCGGTCGGCGCACGGCCCGTATTAGCGCCTACAAGACTGCATGAATACTTCTCGCATTGCGCCAAACGCAGTACAGTCGGTTAGTTAACGTGAAACGCATGTTAGGGCCTGCAAGACTGTAGAAATGCTGTATGACTGCGTGTCATCATTCTTGACTTGCTGCTCTTGTTTTTATCACAAGTAAAGGGAAAATGTGTATCCTCATTTAAGGATTCTGAAATTAGGTAGATATTTAATTTTTGGCGCGTATACGTAGTATATTGGCGCGTATACGTAGTATACCGCCTTTGCGATCGTTTCGACCCCCCCCCCCCCCCCCCCCCCCCCCCCCCCCCCCCCCCCCCCCCCCCCCCCCCCCCCCCCCCCCCCCCCCCCCCCCCCCCCCCCCCCACC